ACTACAGCTGTTTATGTTTGGATATCTGCCACCCGTGATATCAGACATGCAGGCAACTTTCCACACACACACACTGAGGGTGCCATCGATATTTAATGGCTCTACAGTATGTAGCCACTAAGAAAAGAAAAAGACTTGGTTTAGTTTCTAGCTATAGTTACTTCTTATTTTCCATGCTAGTCCTTAAAGCAGGGTATAAGTTTATTTATGTAGTTTCAAATTCTGGGTCAGGCATAACATGTTTAGTTTATCAACATAATTATACATCATACTAAATATCTTATTAAAGTCATGTTTATTTCTTCAATTGTTATTCATACACTATGTGAAACAGAAATTACAAAAAGCATTATGTGCATAAAGTGCAGGCAAACACAATTACTTCTATAACAGCTTGTTGGAATTTATTTACGGCTAAATTCACACTCATTTTTGGCAACTCTAGGGAATGTATTAGTTTCTAACCTTGTCATGTTAGCGTATGTAAAACAGTGATTTTATTTGGGTTTGAATGGAATAAAGAGCCACAATTAAGTATTTGTGTTATTTATGACTCTGCTTCATTCTAGTTCATGTTTATTAGGGTTAAGATTTTCAAAATGTAGATTTTATACTACATGGAGACTCAAATGGCGCATTCAGGGGACAATACTTTTTCTCTGACTCCACAATCTCTTTTTTTTATACATCGAAAGCATTTGATCCTATTATTTTTTGCAACTCAAACCAGTCTTTGCTCTGAACGCCTTCATAAAATAATTTTTAAGCCTGTTGTTAAAATAAATTCTGATAAGTTTCCATTCTGCAATAATTCGTATTTTTCCCCCTACATCAGCCCAATTATGTTCACTGTTTTTTTTTATAGATGTGTGAGTTGATGACCAGACAGACTGCCCTCTCTGTGCTCACAGAGTGAATTTTTTAACTCATATTTCAACAGGTATCAGCTGAAAATATAGTAGATTGATGCAAGTTCTAGTTTTTTCTAGTTTAGCATCTGCAGTGCTGCATTGGATTTAGTAATTATTAAGTAGTTATTGCTTTTACTTTTGGGAAACCTGTACATTCTCTAGCAGTGGCCCACATATATGGTTTGATTATTTTTCAGTATTATTAACATGTGTTTATAAATAATTGGTGTAACAATAACCCCTTGCTCCACACTAACTAGCATAAGAATGTATATAAAATGTTGTCTGAAAATAATTTAAGTTCTACTTTAAAGATTTAAAAGTTTTAAGAAAATTTTATTAGAAATCCCAACTTCCTGTTCATACGGGAGATGATGTTGGGGGAGATGATGTTGCTTGCTGTAGTTCTAATTCACTTGGCAAAACAGGCCAAATAATATTTTCCTTTATTTAATGCATTCAAAAACCTAAGGAAAAAAGTAGTTTATAGCAATACACCTGCCACTTGTTCAAAAATACAAATTTCCTTCTGGGTACAAAGTGATTCAGTTTTTGCTAATCTCTGTCAGCAACTTTTTGCATTAACACAAGCTGAAAAAGTAATCAACATTTGTAGCAGTAGAAAACTATTCATATGTTTGGGACGATAATTCTACTGAGGCATTTGAGCTAATATTACCCTTTAAACCCAAATCTCCATCAAAACTCAAAAACATTTCTATCTTTTCCTTTTCACAGGACGTTCCTACTCAAAGACCTTGCAGCAGGCCCCCCTGTCTCTTCTCCCCCGCCGTCACTGCCAGCAGTATTATCACAGCGCCTTCACAAGCCGCATGCTCTGTGCCGGGACCGTCCAGTCAGAGAGGCGTGTGGACAGTTGCCGGGGTGACAGCGGAGGCCCGTTGGTGTGCGAGCGCCCAGGAGGGGGCTGGGTGGTTTACGGGGTCACGTCTTGGGGTCATGCCTGCAGGACTCAACAGTCCCCTGGTGTTTACACCAAAGTCTCCGCCTTCAACTCGTGGATCCGCAAAGTAACTGGACGTGATAAGAAAATGCGATGAGGCTGGCAAACTGAAAGCAGTGACCTCTCAGGACTCGATCGGTCAGATAGAAAAAAAAGGCAGCAATACATTTCACTTACGACAATCTGCTGTCATGGTAACACATATCGCCTATGAAAAACACGTAAGGAATATTTTCAGATGAAAAGTGTTAGAGCACAAAGCAGAAGTTTACTCACACTCATCAATACATCACAACTGAATATCTCAGTGTTAACAGTATCATTGTTTTTATTTAAATTGTGTTTTGTGTGCAAACTTTTATTGTGACCTTATATTGTAATCTTTAAATTTTAATTTTTTATGGACCAAACATGTAGTGGACTGACTATGGATGAATTTATAAAACTGCACTACGATCACCTATTTTATAATTCAACCGAATGATACTCAGTGAAATATGCTCAGAAGCCTCATTTCAGTCTTGTTTTATTTCTCAGATGTGTCTTAATTTTGTGCAAGACTCTTATGTCATGTCTTATTGTTTCCTTGCAGTGATAAACAGTTTACTTTGTTGTGAGTCATGTTTACTCAGAAAGACAGTGTTTCCCTATAAAAGCACTAAACAGTTTTTCCAATTGTTTTCCTCTTGGCAGCCAGACGTAGTCCTTGTGTTGTAATTACCAGTGTTTAACACGCTTCTATTAAAGAAAGGCATAATTTCAGTATGCCCCTTTTTAATGTTAACTTTATATACTGTTGTTGTTTCACAGAAACATTTTCCCATAAAGAAAACATTTGTAATTAGTTCAAATCTGTGGTGCCTTTTTAATCAAACCCAAGATATTTAAAGTAAAGGTATTGTTTTTATATCCGTTCCTTCTAAGTCATTTTCAGTTCACATTTGGTGTGTTCAAAAATAAAAAGATATGCCTCTCTTCTCTGTTATAAACTATTCTAGGTTCTTTTTCCCATATATGTTATTTGAAACATTAAAACTCTTGAAACCCAACATTCCTCGTGGGTAAAATGTGTTGTCAGCGAAGATTTGTTTTGTAAATAAGGAGCCATAATGGGTTTCTTTACACCCCTGCTGATGCGGTTTTAAGTTTCCTTTTAGAGTATTTGTTAGTCACAGATCTAGCAATTGACAGGTACCTGCAGGGACAACATTTTTTAGGGATTTTTATGACAGCAGAGTGACGCGAAGAGACAGTTTACACACACGTACACACCCAGAGCCGGTAGAGTCATAAAATGTGTTGACAAGAATAACCGGTTGTGTCTTTTAACATGCAAATGTGAACATAAGCCAACTATATACCAGTAACTCTATAGCTGCACTAAAATGTTAAATTTCCCAAAGATATTGTATCCAACACTGAGATTTTATTTATTCGAATCTTTGTTAAATGTTATGTTAATAGTGCAGAATGCAAGTGGAATATATTCCCATAGCTTAAAACCTCACCAAGTTAAATTAAGTTAAATTTAAGTTAAATATAACAGGACCTAGGAGCCTATGCAGAGTAGAGATTATGAGTTTTTATACATGTTACACTTCTCTCTACTGTCTGAGCCTGGGAGACAAATATGGTTGTGGAGAGTTATTAGACACTTGATCTTTTGTTAATTTTGTTTTTCAGATATATCTTTTTGCAACAAGTTATATATAAAAAAAAACGAGTGGAGTTTTCACATTTTTTCATGACTTCAATTAGTGGAACCAATTTAAATGTAGCTCTCAAAGTCTGCCCCCATGTGGCCCATATATAACATTACAACAATCCAAAAAAGATACAATATTCTGTCTGTTTTGTAAAATAAATAAATAAAAAAGCTTAGTTTAATGTTTGTGTTTTACAGGTTAGAGTGATATGTATTTACCGTATATGATTTAAATCATAAAATATCCCTTGTAATCATGTATTGCCTTCAATTCATTTTAATCCCAAAACTTCTCCTGCTGTAATTCTTTTGTAAAACCTTTCTAAATTCTCATAGATCAAAAAGATAAAACAATGACCCCTTATTGCACATTGAATAATTATTTTCCTATTGCATAAGCTGCTAAAGACCAAGATATGCCTTATGACAAGAGACGATCGAAAATGATGTACCTCTTTGTGTAACTAATGTAATTTAACATACTTTATGATGTTTAGACTTTATAATTTAGACATGAATCTAAATCAAAAGTTGCTTTCACGAAGTGATAGTTTGAGTTTACGTATTCCGTTTTTTAATTTTTTTATATTCTTTACAATGCAGTAAGGGGTACAATGCATTTTTTAAAATCAAGATATAATTGGTAGGGCCCCAACATGAATCTGATAGAAACTCTATAATGGGAAGAAAAAAGATTAGGGAGAAGGCAGGGAAGTTTGTCAAAGGTCAAAGACTTGAGACTCAAAGTGGTGGGGACATGGCGAAATCTGGTCAGCATATAAAAGGTTTTCACTGGTTTAAAAGCAAAAATAATTTTCACATTAAGAACGGAGGAGGGTGTCATTTTTAGAATGTAATCTTTTATGGAAATAAAAGTAAATTATTGAAAAGACAAAAACTGATACTTGATTAGCATTGTGTATTATCTAAAAAATTATCTTATTTCAAACTAGAAACAATCTTCCTGGTTAGTGTGCACTCAGTGATTAAATAAGAAAGTATAAGTATCACCTAAAGTATAGATAAAATATAGAATAAAACATATTGGACAAAATCTATTCATGGATTGGTAATATTGTCCCTTTTCAGCTCATAATTATATGCTAACTTGCAGTGGTCAGGTGAAAAAAAAATCCAGACATAAACCCTTACAGCTTATGATTGTAACAAAATATTTAGAAAGGGTGTAGATATTTTGGTATGTAAGTTTTGCATCTATTGTCAGACAGTAATTAGCCTGCTGCGTGTCTCTGTTTTGGTTTTGGAATCAACAGGTGAATAAACCAGCAGAATAGAGTCCTAGAACGCACATGTAACCCTATATATGAAATAAAATTGTTCATCCTTAAACATTTTAACAAACATGACCTTACAAATGGGACTTGTGTGTACTGATCAAAACACCACAAACACTTTATGGTGACAGTCATATCCATCATTTTATTTCAAGTTTGGTTTTGTATTTGACATTTAGGTTTGTTTGCATTCAAATTGAGGCTAAACATACTGTAGGTCACTCATTTTAAAAGGGAAAAAGGGTTTTGACCTAAATGAGACACTGGTAAAACATATCCCGATTAGAGTTACTGCATTAACATAAAAAAAATCCTAAATTTAAAGTTTTTATCTCATAATTCAGACTAGTTTTGGTCATATCTTTGCAGTTCTTAGAACTGAAATCAAACTCTAATACACGGAAACAGCAGTGAATTATGCTGTTGGTTACAGTTACTTATTTCCAGTCCAAACCTTTTGACGTAAAAGTGTCATGTGACAAACTGCAGGGTAAACAATGCCACCAGATCTGCTTCAAACCTGTTTTGCTAAAAAGAAGATTTACAATACAAAGGAAGAAGTAACAGCCTGTCACTCACCCTGAGTCCAACTCCTCTTGGCTTTTTTTATTCTTTCAACATACAATTAAAATGTAAATAAAACAAAGAATAGGTGAAAGTAAACATTAAAAGGTTTCTATTGTTTTGTCTTAGGGGAAACATAGAATAGAACTCAGTACAAAGAAATCTCTGAATCCCACACAGCTGACCAGCGCTGCTCTGGTAACATAACTTAAGAATAAATCAAATAAAAAAGAAAGAGTTAAAGTAACTGCAGGTTTGCATGAGAGTCCATTCAGAACAGGCCTAATCCTCAAAGTGTCCTGAAGCTCTATCTGTCATTATAAACTGGCGTTTAGTTTTAGTCCCAGTTTCTATAGAGCTGCATCCATCCATCCATCCATCCATCCATCCATCCATCCATCCATCCATCCATCCATCCATCCATCCATCCATCCATCCATCCATCCATCCATCCATCCATCCATCCATGTGATGATTCTTCATCCCATCAGTCCTCCTGCTCCATCCAGCAGCACCGCAGCTCCCTGGTGAAACAAGTCCTTGGCTTCACCTCAGCGTGCACCAAAAGGCCTCAGACAGCACTCATAAGAAGGGCAGGAGCTCCTGGTCGCTTCTCTACTGCTCATATCTTGACCTTTACCGCTGGCTCATGGACTGAAATGTTATCTAACCTTCAGAAAGGGGTGAAACAAAGGAGGTGTTGGAGAGAGGGAGACAGAGAAAAGGGAGAAAAAAATGAAATGAAGGACTTTAATCACAAAATTATATATTTTTTAATACTAGAGAGTGAAATTTCACCTGGGATTTGCATAGAAACGTGTGTGAAAAGCATAAATGCACATGGACATGAATTTTAGTAGAAACATTTCCATACAAGTACTTTAAAAGACTAAATAAGGAAAACAAAGAAGGCACAAACGTGAAAGAGCATGAAAGTAGATTGAGTTTTGAACTGTATTTTATTTTAATGATTTTAGGGAACTCCTTCTGAGGTGTAAACTGAATCGTATTCTCATTAGATTGTGATCCATATCTAATGACCATAGGTAAGGCTTTGGAAAGGGATAAGACAACTGGTAAATAGATCAGACACTTGGAGATCAACAGGGAAGTTTTATCAGGTGGAGGGAAACTCAAAAGTACAACTACTGCACCACATTACCATGGTGTGGTGTCTGGCATCTGATAAGAAACACAAGATTTCAAACTACAAAAAAGTCTAAAAATGAAAAAAACAAAACAAAAAAAACATTCAAGCTTAAAACTGGAAACAAGGGAGTCTAATACAAAACCAAACCGCAAAAACAAAACAGATACATGTGCAAGTTTTCCGCAAGTCTTCGTAAAAATCCCCATCTATCCCCATATTTACTGAATTTTATATCTTTAGGGCAATTTACTATTTTTGATCACTTGAATAGCCCTTACAAATTGATTTAAAAACAAAATTTGAAAATGTTATTTTCAAAGTATTTCACTGAATTCCCTATAAAGGGTGGTCAGATGAGCACAAGGGTGGAAACAACTGGATTAATTATGATTAATCAACTACTGAAATAATTGTCAACTAATTTAGTGATTGATTAATCGTTAACTGGAATATAAGGAGTCAAACATACTTTTAGCTGACAGAGCGACCCACTTAGAGCAGTAATTATACCTAAATTGTAAAAAAAATAAGATAATAAACCTTTTAATTCATCCAGATACTCTATCAAGAGCTTCTTGAATGGAAAAGTTTTAATTTCACCTGATTTAATTCGGTTAAAAGTATTCTTTAAGGAACCTTTTGCCAGGCAAAAAAAATCAGATAAAAATCCACAGGTTAATCAAAATGCAAAATGAGCCCTAATGGGCACAGTGCTGACCTTCTGCAGTTCTTCTCTCAACCATGATGGAAGCGGCTGTCCGAGCCGATGCAGCAGCTTTGACAACTCCACATTGTGCTCCCTGTAATACCTGGAGAGATATGCACGTGCCTGCAGAGAGGAAGAGAAGGAGAGGAAAAATACACCATATAGTATGAAAAGGCAAGATTACAGTTATTGAAGAAAAGCTTACAAATCTGAGCTATTAATATTTTAATTCATGGTTCTTATTCAAAGGGTACTGCATATGGATCAGTTTTTTCCAATATTCTGTTTTTAATATTTTATCAAATATGCTTATTCAGATTTAGAAGCCTTAATAACACAAGATTAATCTAAATCATTCCACAGCAGTTCTGACGCTTACAGTCGATATACTGCTAAAGGTAAAACTATGAGTTTTTCCTCTACCAGCTAGAAAAGCCATGATAGTGCCACTTCCATGTTTCACCATGGGGACAGAGCAAGCAGGGTGATGAAGAGAAATAGTTTCCAGTGAAAAGTTTGTCTCACCTTAGCTGCTGATCGTAGTCAAATTTATCTGTTTAATAATCTCTTTAACAGGCTGTTTCTTTCGATGAGAAGCCATATTTACAGTTTTGCCCTACTCTTGCAGTTTTTTAAAGGTTGAAATCTTGAAAAATTGTTTAACAACCAATCCTGCTTTAAAATGTACAAGATTGTATCTGACATGTCTGCTGCTTCCCGTTTGTTCACTAATGTTTTTTAACAAACAGCTGAGGTCTTCAAAAGACAGCAATTATAATTAGATTAAATTCATGGTAACTAATTATATGTCGAAGTAATAATGTCATCAGGTTGCATCAGAGAGCAGGAAGAAGAGGGGTAAAAAGGCTTTATTTGATTATATTTTGTAAAACCTTGAATCCTCTTCCTTCCAACTCAGAATTATTAACGTGCCACTTTATGTTGGTGTGCCACATAAAACCCTGATAGTACACAAGCACATCATGAAAAAGCTCAGGGGCTGTTAATACTTGTGCAAGGCCCTGTATTTATTTTCCTCTCTTGTCTCTCTGCCCTGCTGTTCACTCTATTGCCTCTCCTTGGCCTCTCCTTGTGTCTCCTCGGTTGAGGCTCAAATAATTTGTAATTACAGGTGACCAGAAGGCATGGCCGTGAGCCATGCGTGAGCACATGTGCGGAGACAGAATGTAACCACTGTATGTGAGAGCGAATGTGTGATTCATCTTCTGCAGCCGTTCTGTGGAGTCATAAGGGAGGACAAAGATTTATGGATTTAGATTTTCTGCCTCTATCTTTTATCTCCCTTTATCCCAATCTCCCTTGCTCTCTTTTTCACTGGGGTTTTTATTAAGTCCTCCTAATTAGGTTTAAAGCGTCTGGCTGGATCTGATGGGGTTACAGAGGCCACCTCTGCTTTGAGTCCTTTGGGATATTTTGCTACTATGACAGAGAGAAATGTGGGTTGTCACTACCAGTAAAGAAAACTTGCTCTATTACTTTTTTACCCATCCCTTCACATCAAAATACATTTCATCCCTAAGCAAAAACATTTATTTTCATGAATAAGAAACTAAATTACCTCTGGTTCCATGGGGGGGTACTTCCTTCCCTTACTTTTTCCCAAACATTTTGTCTTTCCTCCCTCTAGTAGTTGGCACCAGAAGCCCTTTTGAGGGTCAAAGCTGAGAGAAGGAGAAAGAAGAAAAGAGGTAAGTTTCACTGGGAGTGATGAAGTGAATGGTTTCTTTCAGCTGTTATTGCTATGAAATACAAATTTTATAAGTTTAATGTCATGGAAATGTTCTAGCAGAGAACATAAAAAAGGATATGTCTTGGATATTATTAAGCTCATGAACAATCAATAACATTAAGAGCACAATGAACAACAGGCAGCACAGTATGCTTGTCATCTCCGGACGAATGCATAATGGGTACAATTAGTCCACTTTCAATTTCAAGGAACCCCACAGTGGCTTGAAAAATAAGTCATACAGGACTTGGTTGGTTTGGTATTTTATGAATAAAATTTGAAAAACAGAGTGCATTTTTTTAAATTCTGAAAATCAAATTTAACAACATTGTAAAACCTCTTAAAGGAGAACAAATATGAATATAATGCAATTAATATACATTACATAGAAGGTAAAGGTATAAAACTATAATTATAACTAATGAGGCACACTATGGATGGATGGATGGATGGATGGATAGAAGGAAGGAAGGAAGGAAGGAAGGAAGGAAGGAAGGAAGGAAGGAAGGAAGGAAGGAAGGAAGGAAGGAAGGAAGGAAGGAAGGAAGGAAGGAAGGAAGGAAGAAGGAAGGAAGGAAGGACGCTAATAAAAACTGGGTATTAATGCTAATAAAAACCGGGTATTAATACATAAAATTGAAAAAAGGCATACGGCTGAACATTTTACTACTTTTTTATGGGGTACGATGAATTCTATGGATATAATATAATATGTAAAAAAAATGACACTCACACCAAGAAAAAGATAATAGGAATTAAAGTGCTGGATAAAGCCATATTAAAAAAAAAGTCATTGCATTATAAACAGCATTTAGTAAGGAATTTGTAAAAATGGCTTTTAAGCAGGTGAAACATGTTATAACAGGTTAGAGAAGAGCAATGTTTATTTCACATCTGCAGCCCACCTAAACATTGCACAGGTTTGAGGCAAGATAAATCCACAGAGACCCAACATACTGAACATCTACATCATTTTCTTTATCCCCATCCTCACTATTGAATGTTGATTTGTTATTATTATTATTTTTTTTCTCATCAGTGTGCATTCTCATTTCATCTTGCTTAACATATATGCTAAGGCTGGTGGGTTTAAACGATGCATTAAATATTTCTTGGTCTACATATATTTTTGGATTAATAAAGCAAGACAAAGGCTAAGTGGTCTGGTTCAGTCACAAAAGACAAAGGAGATTAAAAATGGCCTGGAGTGTTAGGGATCTGTCAGACGGCTGCTGTGTCAAAAAAGAAATGACAGGACAAAAGATTAGGCTTTGTCTAACTCCATCTTCAGACAAAACACAAACACACACACGTACACACACAGAGCCTTCATTATTCCATCAGATTCTCCTATTTGTATGCGTGTGGGATTGTGATTGAAGACAGAGCCATTCTTTCTCCCGGTCCAAGCCACAAATTCAGGATGTCACTGTCTAAAAGTTTGAGGTTTTGCAGGCTGATTGCATTCTGATGAGTGGTGCTTGAGAAATAAACTGCTTCCTAGTCATCCAGAGCATAAAAGACAGATGTTTTATCATGTCATCACAGACCATGATGAGGACACATATATACTGTACAACAGCTATTAAAGAGGCTGAATTTTATTATCAGGGATGCTTCTCTTAAAGGCGAAAAAATCTCCCAAACTATTAGGGATTTTAGGTTGTAATACTTGTACAGGGTTGCTGTATCGGTTGCAGTGTTTTTTATGATCTGTTTAGTCTTTCGCATTGAAACAGTCCAGACAGCTGAGGTTTTTGTCTTGTGTCATCTCAGCTGTAACTAAGAGGAGCAGGCAGAGGATATCGTACAAGCAGTTTGTACTCTAAGTGGCAGATGCATGAAATTATTAGGTCTAGGCATTGCTAATTGTTCCAAGTCAAAGAGGGTTATCTTGTGCTGAAACTATTTTTTTTTACCTTCATTATATATGCCATTATGTGGAAACCCTTGTTAAGAGAAATTATTTAAAATTACTTAAATATTAAAAGAAAAATCTTTTCTTTACCTTAAAGGGGTCATAGAATGATTATATAGGGTATTTGGCGCTGGTCTTTAAGGCCTCTGAATAGAGTGTGTAACATTGGTTGGGCTGAAAATGGCATATTTACTGTGCCCTAATGCAAGCCTGGTTAAAAGCCCTAGAATAAAACGACAGGTTTTCTTCCTTTTACGGTATGCTCATGAATATTTAGATGAGCTGTGCGCTGATTGGCTGGTTTACAATGAGCAAAGCTGCTGGGCAAAGATACATCATAGCAACAAGCACTCACTCACTGAAACATCAAATTGTTGATATGGTAGGATGACCAGACGTCATCTTTTTCCCGGACATGTCTTACTTTTCATACCTAAAAAAATGTCCAGGGAGAATTTCAAAATCTTACAGGGTTTCGTCGACTACACGCTCTCACATGCATTAAAAAAATACCCCCTCACATAGTCTAAAATCCAGGATAATTTATCCGACTCGCAGGAATCCGTGAAAAGCTATCTATATCAAGGAGACTCCCAGAACTTCATAACAACTGACCTCATGACCCCCTTTAAAACCTGCACTCTGTTCATGTGGATTCTGTTGTGGGGAAAAAGCTGTAATTTTTGGGAACAGCAGCATCATCATCATCTTTGTAAAAAACAGGATAAAAACAAAGTAACATTGTGCCACTGCCATTATAAAATACTGTAAAATGATGAACCTGATCTTGATTAAAGTGAGGTCTGTCTCATATTCATGCAAATAATTTTCAAGTCATAAAAACAGTGTAAACTGTTAATTCTTTCAATATCTGAATTAATCCGTTAAAATATCACATCTCACAAAAACTTATGGGACCCAAGAGGGTTAATTAAAATCAGAATAAATACATTTTCTTACTTTTGAATTCATTGTTTTTTTCAACATAAAAAAACAAAGAGTAGACTGATAAAAAAAATAAATGCAAATTACTTGCTTCTTCTCCTCTGAAATTCTGAAGGATGAAGATAAATAACCAAAAAAATGTAATAACTTATAAACCTCCACTAAACCAATTACTCTATATTAGAAATGTCAGTGCTCCTTATGCAGTCCTACATTAGGCTGCATGTTTTGTTTAGCATTAATAAGCTTTATACAGCAAACACAGTCAGTGCAGGAAAATCTAGTGTGAGAACATCAACAAAGTTTTAATGTAGTATTGTTTCTTCCTTTATAGAATCTTCTAGAGATGCAAGATGAAACATTTTATAAAACACACAAGTAAACATGATCCTTTCTTTTATGTATTTATTTTATCTTTAATATTTCTGACTAAAATAATTACACTTTAAATTTGGTATTAATCAGTCTAAAAGACAGAATTTTGCAGGGAAAAGGAGCAAACTGGAGGAAACTGTGGCGGAGCAAAGGCAATTGCTAGTTGGTGCCTATGTTGGAGGTAGGATGATGAAACAGTCCTAGTGCTAAATTGAAATGGCTTTTTTAAAGCTACCTACAAACCTCTTAAGAGCATTCCCAAGTCATCCTTTGTAAATATTATTTTCTCTATCTTTCATTTTGATTAAAAAAGCCCATCTCTGCTGCATGCTACGCTAAAATAGAGGTCAATTTACGATACTTTCTCATCTACAATTTCAGTACCTAATAATACAATGTCAATTTACATGAGACAACATTTGAAGAATTTATGGATGAAGATACAGATTTCTGGATTGGCGCCCGGCTCCCAAAATCCTCACCGGTCTGAACAAGACCATGTCTTATTCCATACACCGTTAAATTAAAAAAAAAAGCTTTTCTGATTATATGTAGCAGCATGTGAAAAAGTGACACAACTAACACAAAGCAACTTTATTTGTTTTATTAATTAGAAAAATGTTACTTATCTGATATTTTGTAAGACAATGTATAAAATCTTTTTTAATCTTGTTTAGAGAAAAATATGTTATAAGTACGGAAAAAAATAGATGATGATTTTAAATCCAGAGGTTTGCAAAAATGTGAAGATTTTTATTGTAATTTCTATAGGAATTAGGGGTGGAACGGTTCACAAAATCCACGGTTCGGTTCGGTTCACGGTTTCGTGGTCACGGTTTTCGGTTCGGTATATGTTTATTATTACACCGGAAAAAAAAAAAAATTAATAAAAATTATAAAAATGTATGAAAAAAATTTTTTAATGAAAAAATCCCCAAAAAATTAATGAATTGTAAGTATTTTTAATGATTCGCGGAAACCATGGATCCTTTCCGCATGTTTTGCTGCTTTGAATTTAATCATCTTGCACATGCCCTCTACGATCTCCAAGGAACTCAGAGCGGAGCGGACGGGAGCCACAGCGGAGGCTGTAGGCTTTGCTTTGTGGAGGCGGTCTGGAGCGCAGCGGGGCGGAGCGCTGACGGAGTATGAGGGATTTCGGGGTTAGCATGACATTTTGGTCATGTTGCTGTTAGCATAAACAAAACGTGTTGCACAATGCTTGCACACTTTTGCACTTTTATCCACAATTTTCTTTCCGCTGTCATCGTAGGTCACTCTAAATGCAAAGTGGTCCCATACAGCAGACCTATAAAGTGCTGCTGGTGCGTCTTCCAACTCCTGTTCTTTCCCACCCGCCATACCCACACAATTCTCCACAACAACTGATTTTTTCTGCTACACCCGGCTACGCTGCTTCGCTTCTTCTTCTTCTTGTTTACTCCTGGTGGTTGGCTTTGGTCGCAGTACCGCCACCTTCTGCTCTGGAGTGTACATGCTTCGCCTATGAGAAAATGGAGCAGCGCATGAACCGAACACAACACACGTGAACCGAGACAGTCGAACCGAACGGTTCGGACGGTTTTCATAAACCGTTCCATCCCTAATAGGAATAATCTTTTATATAAGATATTCATTACATTTTTTCTTATATATTATGTTATATAATTAAAATGGGCAAATAATATAAGAAAGTGTTTATCAAGTTCTCACGTTTTGTGATGTTAAAAAAATGTACTTCAATTTACTTATCACTGATCAACATATAGAGCTTTTGTTTGGTCTGTAACATAGCTTTGTTATATAAGTTTAACAGGTGTGAGAACATTTGTCTGGCACTGTATGGTTAAGAATCTATCCTTGACAGATAAGAAGCACGGTAAGTGGAGATTCAAGCAAACATTAATGAATCCTGTGGAAAAAGCTTGTCTTAAAGACCAAACAGTTAATCAATACAAGAATGAGGTTACTGCGGTATAAATGGCTGATGAGAACCAATATTACACCACTCAGGCTGAACCGCTGCTCCCATGAGTATTTCAGTATTGTACTAAATGTTTAGAGGAAAGAAACTCTGTGAGCAAAAACAGTTTCTCAAACTATATCGTATATTGTAGGAGTAAGAGTACCCTGCATGCCAGTGGTTTATATCAAGGTTCTTCAACTCCAGTCCTCAAGACATGTCTCTGCTAAACCAAACCTAAATCAAATTATCATGTTATTAGCAGGACTTCAGAGAACTTGAGCAATCTGAATCATGCAAATCACAAACTTCTTTCCATGACAGGACTTAGACACAGCCCACTTCACAGAGATTTATTTTTTTCAGTGTGAATTGTGCTTGACACATGCAAATGTATGCATCGTCATATGTTTTGGTTTTATAACGGAGAGCTTAAGCCACTCACTAATGTTGGTGTAAATTATTTTTTTTGTAGTTCTTTTCCAGAAGGCTGTAGTCCCAAGTAGACAGGCATCACCTATGTGTGTTCCTACCCAGGATGTGGTCCAGAACCCTGAAGGCTGTCCGGATTCAACATCCAGAATTTCTTTTCTCTCACCCGGCAGTGTTCTAACTGTTGACCCCATCAAAGATATAGGAAGAGGAGATTGAACAGGAGCTAGAAGCTACAATTTGCACAATTTGTATGGATGGCTTGAGTGCATACTGAGAAGAGAATTTATCCTTTTGATTCCAGAAGATTAATTAGTTATTCGAGGAATGGAATTCTTTGAGGAAGTAAAGACATCTAAAGGCTCAGGACACTAGACCCCTGCTATACATCATAAAAGTGCTCCTCATCATGTTGGATTCCTGCAGGCCTGTCCTTGAGGACTAGAAAATAGAGACGTGCCGATCCATTTTTTATGATCCAATCCGATATCGATACTTGGGCTGAGTGTATTGGCTGATATATCCGATCTGATACTACTGTTGAATTAATCAACTGTATACCATGCCATGAGAATAAAAGCATCATGCTTGAGATAAACATAGTTAAAAAAGGTAACAAATTAACACAGAAAAAAATCATTCTAGATTGCTGTGTGTGCACTGCGCAATGACATAATCAGTGTTACAAACATAAAATTCGAGTCACTCACTGTAATTGTATTGCTGTGTATGATATCAATGAAAATAGAAATGACCGGATCAGAATGCTGGGTCTGCGTCTTTCATCCAATATCCAATCCAGCTATTTAGTAACTATCAGAGCCGATATCTGATCCCATACTCGGATCTGTGCTTCTCTACAAATTATTGCTGGGGCTAGAAAGACCATATACTATTTTTGCTTTATATAACACCAAAAATATGAATACCAATACCGGCAATTGACACAGTAAAACTATAAACCTTAGTGTATTATATTGGAATTTTATAAAATTGACTAACAGAAAGAAGGAATTTATATCAAACATAGATTAAACTTACTTTTTCATGCTGAAAAAAATCACATTCATTTTCATAATCATTGCAGTATATAAAAAAATAAACAGAAATTGAAGGGGTGTGAACATTTTTGCATTATTTTGGGGGTATACAACAGTTATTATGGATGTGTTCGACCCTTTGGTGGGATGGGTTTAATGTTTTTTTTTTAAAGAAACTAAATCTATCCTAATAATGCTTATTTTTGCTTGTTTGTTTTTTTTTACTCCAGGTTAGCATTCAGTTTTCCTATGTTGCTGTTGTTTTTGATAAAAAGTGACTCCTTAAGGTCTTGCTGAGGATCTGGACCAAAGTGCCGACCAGCAGATGTCAGGCTTCCCACAGATACTGGATTTTACAGATCTTGTTAATCAATTCATGCAAAGCAGCACTTGTAAATGACAGGCAAGCATACAGTGTCAGGCACTCACGTAAGAGTCTGGGAGTAGTTAAAGTGAGGAGTGACGCCCAGGAACTTCTGCACTTCATCCATCACTGCTGCAGGGTCGCTTCTAAGCTGATGGCCATCAATGATCATCACCTGAAAACAAACACAACCATTCAGGGGTAGAGGGCATTATCAGCTGGTATTAGCAATGCTATCGCATCAGTGTAACAGGACAATCCTGCAGTGTTACAGATCATTGAAGGCTATCGGTATAGTTTACATTTAACAAAAAAAAGTATTTACTCTGAAATCTGTTTAGAATTATGATATCAGAGTATCTGTAGCTTTTATTAGTCTTTGTGGATACCTGGTTAGCGGGATAGTACATCAGCCACCTCTCTAGGTGTGTAGCATACAAGCCGGGGATGAGACAGCGACTCTGCAGGGATCGCAGCTCTGCAGGCGCTCCCTTTCTCGCACTGATGACCTCATAAAAGGTGAACTGCAGGGCTGCTCGATCCTCATGAGCTCTTTGATGCTGAGGAAGGATGCACAACAACAAAAAAAAGGTTTATATATGTGTATATTTGAGGAAAACAGTTAAACTGACTAATACTGACATTAATTTTTGATTTATCAAACGTCTATGCATGACAGCTTTAGCAGTTTATGATGGATGGGTATGCAAGTATAACTTTTAACTAAATAACTCAGAATTACTATTGGCTTAACGTCACTTTGCGTAATAACATTATGTAAACAGACACAGAGGCATTTCACAAGAATAAGTGGAGACCTTTTGTAATGAACTATCTTTGAAGCATTCATGTGTTTTGACATTTCAGTCATAATCTTTACTGTGGCATGTTTGGGTTTGATGTAATAGAAGCTAAGTGGTGGGTAATAATGTCATGAAAACAAGTTGTAAAAAGTATGGGAATTTGCATTCTGCCACACTGAGAAATATTTTAAATGTTTCTTCAAACACAGCTTAAAGTCTTTTGTGGGTATGTTTCCAACAGTTTTGCACATCTGAAGGGAGATATTTTTTCCAAGCGGGTCTTTAAAAGACTTTAATCACTCAGGTTTGTTACACATTTTTTTTTTATTATCTCCCAATATCCAGCCATACCCGTCTTCGCATCAGCTCTTTCCTCTTTTGGCTGAAAAATGAGGACTGACAGAAAACAATGCTCCGAACCCTTACTCTTATCATCGGACTGATCGTTTTAGTATGAAACAGTTAGTTTCCAGCAGTCACTCGTCCTTTTTTTTTTTTCCTTTTATGTAGGCCAGAGAGGTTAATTTTAGTCTGATCTAACAAGATGCCCTTTGCTGTGTTCCCACATGACTTCTAGCAAACTTCTGACCTGCTATTTTCTGGCATTCATTTAAAAGGGTCAATCTTTTTGCCACTTCTCTGTAACAGCAGAGACTGACAGTTGTCCTATTGATAGATCCTTTAACCTGAGTTGTGGATCTCTGCAGCTCCTTCAGAGTAGCCATGGCCTCTTCGCTGCTCCTCTGATTAATGCTCCTCTTGTCCAACTAGTTAGTTTAGTTGGATAGCACTGTCTAAATAGGTTTTTAAGTGTGCCTCAATCTTTCTATATTTTAATGATGGATTAAACAGCGCTCTCTAGGATGTTCAAAGCTTGGGATATAGTTAAAATTGGGCATGAATTACTTATATTTTCTTTTTAGGCCACTAAAATAGTAATGAACAGCACCAAGAGGTGATAAAGGACTTTCATTTTGATTACCTTTTAAGAAATACTCAAACATATGAGAGAGAAATGACCGATTTGCATTAAGTCCAATGTTTAGGATGATTAATATCCTGCAGGTGACAAAGTTCAGATTTGTATTATTTAAAATAAACTATTAAATCAAGTATAACTTTTCTTTTACCTCATATTTTTCTCTTGTTTTTTTCTAACTCTATAACAAAATATATCAATGGAGCACAGTGATGTTTGTCGCAATCTGATAAGGGGTTTGAATATTTTTGCCAGGCACTGTACATGTGCTATCGCAGGCATGGACTTATTCTGTGCATGTGCAGAGAGTTTTCACCTGATACCAGCTGTAGGCCCTGTCAGACGGGTTGATGAGCAGCGTGAGGATCTTGGCCTTGGGCAGCAGGGCAGAAGCTCGCCGTGGGGTCTCCTCTGAGGGAAAGTAGTTGGCGCTCTTCTCAAACATGAAATCCGTGCTAACATTGGAGGGCACTGGGAAAAACTCCATGTACCTGAGGCAAAATAAACATGATTTTAAGATGCACACCACACTCACAGACATATACAATTATGAAAAACGCGGTGAGTCAAAGCAATGCGTGGAAGCGGTGTTTCAAATAATTTCAAAGTCAAATGCGGTCTGGAAAGTCAAGACAAACTGTTTATCTGCCTTAAAGGAGTCTAATGATGTGGTTCAAGCCATTTTATGATGAGGAAGTATTTCTGGAGAATGCAACAGCTGTGTCTGTCAGCTAAGTAACCTGTTTATTGGTCATTTAAGGCCGACATATGCCTGTTGCCTTGCACTACAAGATTAAAACCTCATTCTGAAGACATTATAGAGCTATTTTGAACCGTGTTACTGAATCCTGTATAGACAAGGGAATGGCAATAAAAACCTCACGAAATGAACAAAGGGGGTTTGTTATCTTTTGTTTAACCTTAGGCACTTGCTAATAAAAGACAGAAATGAAAAAGATAAAGATGTGTTTGGTGTTGTTCGTGGGCGCTTACCAGTCAATTCCTTTGTGGTAGTTGTTGGTGTTAAAGAACTGGACCTCCTCGTATGTCTTCGGACTGGGAAAGTTACTGGAGATGGAGGGATGCATGAGGAGGAAGAGATAAAGTGCTGTCGTTCCTGGAAGAAAGGTCATAATTCATAACTGGCTCATTAGTTTACCTCAGCAGATGGTTGGGTTGTGTGTGTAAGACAATGTGCATCTTTGTTATTCTGCTTGGCCATTTGAGGGATTCCGGTTTCGGGTTATTGTCAGGGTTCGAGCATAGAATGCGTTGACTGAAAAACAATGGAAGTCAATGGGAGCCCTCAATGCATACAGCAAGACAAGACTGTGTGTGTGCGTGTGTAAGACCTACCGTCCACTGATCCACACTGGATGATTTTTTTGTTATCACTTTTCCTACATTAATATGTTGCTGAGAATCCATAGAGGGAGTGTATGTGTCTCTGCATAAAGCTCATAGTCCTTTCCTTCCAAATGATTTAGAAGCATTTGACACCAATCAGCAGAGGGGGAAATGTTCCTGCCCTCTGTCTCACCCTATGCAGTTCTTTGCTTCACCTGGTACCCCTCTGATAAAATGGGGATTTATAGTAATCTAATTGCTGGGTTGCTAATGTCGCTGCAATGACCTGTCCTTCCATTTGGAAGATTATCACAAGGTAATTGCTGTTTATACCTCACCTCTTCACTTCTCACACAGAACAAAAACATCCTATTTAATTTCTAGAAATAACATAGAGGCATTATGCTTCGGAAACAATTTCATGCATACAGGGTGAAAGAAATGCTCCATTAAAATGCATTCTTATAATCTCTCTAGTGTCTTTTCCTTTAGCCAACTGTTTGTGCCAGTTATATTAATTATGGTTCAGATCAATTCCAGCTGTTTAGGGCCATAGATCCATTGTTCCCTATAAATCATTTTCGCTAAAAAAAGACAGAAAATCGGATTCATAAAATTGAAGCGCAGATGTACACAAACTTCTGCTGTGCTAAAATATTTGTCCCCTTAGAAATTTCTTAAATTCATCATCTGCTTTGTCACAGTACATTTTTTCCATAGGCGAAACATATGTCAATCTGAATAAATACAAACAGCTATTTCCTAAAGATTGTTGAACTTACTAGGGAAAATCCTTTACAAATCCCTGCCTACTTCAAGGTAAAAGATCCCAAAAAGCAACACATTATGTCGGAATCCAAATAAATAGTATGACTGGCCTCACTCAGTCTGTAATGTGGTCTCACATAGGTCTGTTTTACAGCTTTGAGACTTGGTGAACCACAATGAAAACCTATATACAAATAGAAGAAACATGGAACAGATGTACACCTTCACAGAAGTGGCCAACAACTCATCCAGGAGGCTCTGAAGCAACATCTTATGCAATACAGACCTCACTTAAGGTCATTGTTTATAGATCAACAATAAGAGCCATAGTGGGCAAAAATGTCATCCACGGGAGAGCTTCCTGTCCACCAACAATAAAAAAAAGCCATCACCAACTGCAAAAATACAACTACAAAATTGTGATGTTCTTCAAAACATTAAGGAAAGTATTCTATGGACTAGAGTGACAGACTAAAACCACAAATACCTCAAATCCCACCTCTGTGGTAAAACATTTATAACTTTTAGAAAAAAAAGATCAATATTATATTCCCTCACACCTATTTTGGTACTTCTGGCCTTTTTTTAGCAGTGATTAGTTGGGTAAAATATAGAGGAAGAAACAGAGAAGAAAGTATGGTAATCACACCCAAGATGGCACACCTATGCTCAAAGTTTTCTGATATTTACAAAAAATTTTATGCAAATTACCAGACCTTCTAACTCTTATTTAATGTACTTAAAGTAAACATATGTAAAGAAAATAAATTAAACTTATAAATGTTTAACACTCCAAACCTTTTAATTTCACCCCTTATAGAAAGGGTACTTAAAAGGGGACCAGGGGATGTGGGTCAAAGCCCCCTTTCCTGTTTTGTAATTTGCATCCTGAATTTGCTGATGTTTTATATAAGTTACTCTATTTCAGTCTCTTTGATGGATTCAAAGAGAAAGGAGAGACATATACATTGGTACCTCTGTGTGTCTATAGCAGAAAGATTGTGGGTGGAAGAAAAGAGGCAGGAGCCTCCTCCTTTGTCTCCTTCTGATAGAGGTAAAGGAGCATGGGGGATTACATGAAAAGGCTCTGTTGCAGACACCTGTGCACACAGGAAAAGCCTCTGTCTTACATGTGCATGTTTGAATGTAAGCATATCTTCATCTTACCTGTTTTCTGTGGGCCCACCACCATGAATTTAGGCAACCTGTCGCATGTTTTCTCTTTAGACCAGATGTCTTTGTGTCGTTTGTCATCACATGGATTCTACAAAAAGCACAGAAACTGAGTGATTAGAGGCTGAGCACATAAAAAACACACATGCCAGGAAACCAACCTCAGTGAGAGGCAACTACATAGAACAGAAGAATAAACAATCTCCTGAGCCATTTTTGGCTTTGAACACACCATAAATCCATGTAAGCCGTAAATACCACCTCAAACATTACCACAAAGGAGCCATAATACAGTAACAGATTTCAAACTTTTGTTTTCAGCAATAAACTCAATAGATCTCTAAATTAAAAAAAAGACAATAAACAACTATACGTACAACATCTATTCTTAATTTCCTTCTTGGTCCTTATACACCAGAATACTGCATGACATTTTGGCAAATTTATAGTAAAAGCATCCCTGTTTTAGTGAGAAAAACAAACCCAGAACAGAAACAGAAAGCACAGGCCCATACATGCATGTACCCATGCAAACACACCTGCCAGAGCGGGTTCCTTTGTTCAGGAAAAAGCTGAAAGTACTTGTGTGCAAGCTGGAGAGGTGGGAGGGTGTGGAGCTTCAGGTTAGTCCAAGAGCGAAGGAAGGTGGCCAGGTGGACGAACGTGTAGAGACCCAGTCGATCATTGCCATAATTAGAGAGGTGGGTCATGAATATGCTGATCTGGAGTGAAATAAAACACATAAATGTGATGAAGGAATTGTTTAAACCTTTCAGATCAGAGTTTGTTAAGTTCATATGATTATATGCCAAGCATTATATTCCATATCTGACTCTCAGTTTAACTGCTACACGAACAAAGACAACTGTAGGTTAATAAAACTCTAGGATGGCTTTCATTGTAATGCTAGGTGGTTCCTAATTGCAAGATAAGTGTCCCAACTATCGAAAGCAATACATTTAGAACAATATAAAGGAGATTTATAAAAACTCAAATTGAGTTTTTATAAATTGTAAAAAAAACTGTGGTCTATCTGTTATTCATCAACTGCTTTAATAATTTATTACATTTTTTTAAAGTCTTTATCATATTACAACATCTACTTAAGGCAGATTTGGCAACTGTATTCTTACCATAAAGCCGTACTAAGTAATGTTACAGACCCACTCCCCCTATAGGACCTTTTGAAAATAACACCGTTGTAAAAACTGACAGCTTTCTGTCAGCTGCTCAGCAACTCACAGCTGTAGCTCTTACTCTTAAGTAGCTAGAAGACGCAGATTAAGACGAGTGTCTAAAAAAAAAAAAAAAATAAAATAAAAAAAAAAAAAAAAATATATATATATATATATATATATATATATATAATTTTACATCATTTATTTTAAACTAGTATAAAGCACCCTTTTTTCGCAAAAAAAACAAACAAATTTTAATAAAAGGCTGTCTTGAGTAAACCTATTTTAAATTGTTCTCATAAGGTTATTAAGCCTCTCCATGTTTTATAGCTACATGCTTAAAATCAACCACACAAAGGTCAGAGCAGTCACATTAACAGAGATTAGCAGGTTCGTACTTATTCTGTAAGTCCGACAACGTCTCCAGGTCTTCATCAGTTTTCATTCTTGTTTTTTTTCTTTTTGGTTTGAGGACCAGAACCATTAGGGGGAGATGAGACCTCTGAATTAAGTAAGGAGCTAGAAATTGGACTTTGTTCAATAATTTTATAATCTGCATTGTTAATTCTTTGAGGCATTATATTGATTGAACCTATGTTCTCAAGCACCGAAACCCAGTCACAGAGAAAGTGGTCGAAATGATGCTGTCTTTAAAATAACCAATTACAAACAGTAGTGTGTAAAAATGTTAGGAAGAACTACCTTTAATTGGGATTACATTTGTCATTGCAGAAAGAGTTAGTGACCAAAAGAGGAAAATCTTAGAGGTATAGAGGACGATCTTATATCGATCTTTTATTTCCGGATGGATCATCTAAATAAGTGGTCCTCCTAATTATCAATCATTCTGGTAATATGTTTACGTAAGGCCGTCCTACATGCTCTTCCCATTAGCTATCTTTTTCTGCGCATGCTCACTTTCAGGTGTATATGTGTGGTGAGCTACGGTTTCAGACAGTCATGAAGCTCACCGCCTGTTCTTTGAAAATGGCCGTCGTAAAAGTGTGTACGAAGTGTATGAGAAGAAAAGAAAGGTATCAGAAGAGGCAGATATATCCCAGAATGCTTTGAGTGGAGAGCTTTTCTCGGAAAACATTATGGGATTTGTTGTCACAGCGGCCTGCTATTGCAATAGGCTGCCGCTACCCGGCACAGGTGACTAATAAAGAAGATGGCGCAGGACGCAGGATGGTGCAGTGGACCAAGTGATCAACTGTCCGAACAGTAAGTTGACTGCGTTCACCATTAAGTCCCCACTATTTACATTGCAAAAAATGGAAATCTAAATTTGTCTTTTTTTTTTTTTTTAAATAAGTGCATTTTTTCTTGAATTAAGGAGATAAGTGAGACACTTTGCCAATGGAACAAGATAAGATACATTTAAAATAAGAAAAAACAATTGCATTTTTTTTATTTCAAGTCAATAATATCTAATTATCTTATTTTAAGAGGAAAAATACTTATTCCATTGGCAAATTTCATTTTATTTACCTACTGAAATTAAGGGTAAATACACTTAATTTAAGAAATTTCTACTTATTTCTAGATTGTTTTTGTAGTGTAGGTTTTTTAGGGGTTTAGGGATTTGGGCAAATGTTCTAACACAGTAAGCTTAATTGAGCTATGAGAACAGTGACTTTTAAACAGATGGTGCACAAGGAGAAATGGTCTTGTGCATGCTCTTACATCCGCATTTTTTTTAAGTGCAGAGGTTAGGTTTTTTATAAAATTCAAGAAAAACCTCCACAAAACCTTTAAGTTTCACACCCAGAAGATTGGCATCCTTGATTACAGTTAAGGGAAATACTACAGTGGCGATGTCTGTAACAGCTCTCTTATCTTTAAAGAACTGTATATACAAACCATCCAAACTGCTACCTTCAAATCCAATTCCGAACATTAACCACTACAGCCTCATTGGAAGAAAAACTGACTACTTATAAAAGTATGTGAGCTCAGTCATTGGGGTCCAGAACAGTTCTCCTATCCAAACAGCATCAATAGCTCCATTTCAGTTGCTCTGGCTGGGGGAGATTTTAATATTAAGTTACAGCACAGCATAAGCAGTTTCAAGTGGAAAAAAACGAAAAGGTAAAAGATATGATAAAGATAATGAGACTGATGGATTCAGCGCTCCTGGTAGATAAAGCTGAGGAGGCAGCACAATACTCCTCAGAGGCATTGGGAGATGGGAGAGATGCGGATACAAGCGGGACAGTGTGTCACAGTGTGTTTGCAGTGGTTAATGTGTGTGAGGAGGAAGGAGACACTCAGAGCGAGCAGAGGAGCGATGGTGTGTCGGTTCGGGCTATCTGTCCACGCCTCAGTGCTTTTATAGGCTGATCAAAGAGACAAGCACAGATAGCTCTTACAAACATACGCACATCCACACAGACTTACACTGGGACCATACTCCTGATTTTGTTCACAGAGTTATGGAAACATCTTAGATAAAATGCTAACATCAGCCATTAAGATATGAATTATTTGTTAGATCTAATGATGGTGTCTGTATACGCTTGAGTTATTCGGTGTCAGTTTTTAATGTTCTTCAATTTAAAAGTGAGCCCAGCCCACACCCACACACACAAGCCACCCCTTCTTATGTTTCATTTAATTTGGCTTAACCCTTGGAATGGAATCTAGAATGTATATTTTTAATGGATTTGACAAAGTGGTAAATTCTAATTAGTTCCATCGAAACGACACAAATATTTCACTTTCTCTCTTTGTAAAACAAATCTGATCCAACATTGAGTTTAACAGCATCCTCCATGATATTAACCTACATTGCCTGGACATGACACCAGATGGAAGAATAACAGAGAAACAGACTAAATCTCAATCAGACATACATCTGGATCTATAATAAACAGAAAAGGTACTTTATTTCTACAATTTATGAAAAAAAAAAACATCAAAAGGTTTTTAAATTGGGGTTTATACATCATAGCTAATGTAAACAAAAAATCAGTATCTAAGAATATTAGAATAAAATGTATTTTAATACAGAAATTGGAGAAGGTATGTAATATTATGGCAGGTTGACAATCAATGGAGGTTGAACAAAATGTACAAGCCCCAGATATAACTGCAGGTTATTGTAAGAAATTCAGCAGGTGTGGAATAAAGCTGAAGAGATTGCTTTAAACACCGCCAAACACAGTATACAGTGTATCTGGTATATGGACATAACTTTTGCATTCCGTATGTTAAGCTAGGGGAAAAAAAGGAATGGACTGTTGCCAAGTAGTCCATAGTCTTCTCCCAGATGAAAGTTATTTTATATGGAAACCAAGACCTATTTCTTGGACAGATATAGAATCAAGTTAACTTATGGTCCAATTTGAAGTTTTCACAGTTAGTGAGGATTTTGGGAGTCAGAACAACTACTAATGTTGATCCACTAGGTCTTATAAAGCCCATAGTCTACTACAGTAACACAGCCCAGTCACCTTCCTAACATGATGAACTGATGGAGGGCAAAGAGCTACAGCCAAGCAGTGGAATAACTTTCAGTAGATTGCAGCAAATCTTTTTTTAATATTATACAGTGGAATCCGCTTATAGTGGTCACAGATATAGTAATCAACCGCTTATATAGATCAAAAGGCTTGGGACAGAATAATTTTCATACAAATGCTGTTTAAATAATTAGTTTATAGTAATCAAGAAATCCACTTATAGTGTTCATGTGCAAAAATAATTAATTCCCTGGATCAGACTGTTGGACAACACTCTGATCTAGGGAACCATAGATAAATATGTCAAGTGATTCCTTTATGCGGTGAAGCAGATCGGCAACACAAAACAGACGTAGGCTAGCTTTCATTTTCTGTAGCCTATGCAGTTATCTTCTATGATGTTCTATGAAACCGTTTGTTTCAAACATTCTTTTTTAGACATGTTAAAAAAATGCACAGGCGGCACAGCAGAGCTGACGCACAGCACATAATAAGTTATGTAGACTACCTGAGTTATGTCTGCGCACAGTGCAGTATACTGTAATTAAACTTGCATGGTACTGTAATAAAATTCAGTAAATGTGGCAGCTATCTGTTTCATTTCATTTTTCTCATTAAAAAACCATACAAATGGCATTTAGATGATATTCTGCATAAAAAATAAGTGAAATAACGGTACATTCGGTTTTAGTAATCAACCACTTATAGTGTTCAAATCAGCTCTGGACCAACGTGACCACTATAAGCGGATCCCACTGTATAACATCTGAATTTGATATCATTAAAATTTACTATGAGTTTATAATTCCGAATAAAAATGATTGAAATAAAATAGATTTGTCAATAAATGTTTATTTATTCTAATGCAATTATAAATAGTAAATTTTCAGCATATACAAGAGGATACTTCTCTTTAGCAGCAAAGGTTTGCTGTAGATAAAAACAACACACTATCAGAGCTTGATGGATCAGCATCTATCATGCTGACCTGGAAAGCAATGGGAATACTGATAACCCATGAATGCTGATGGAAAAACGGGTCTCAGCCAGTGAGAGAAAGAGACACAGCAGGAGGACACG